TATTATTATTATTATTATTATTATCTGCAGAAAGCAGGAAATTTAATACAGGTAGTCCTCAAGTTACGAATGGAATGGAGCCTGCCTATAACTCAAAAACTTGGAGTGAATCTCGTACCTCGAATGAGATCACTCCCTGCTCGTTAAGACGCACGTGGCTTGTTAAGTGAATATGAGGTATCTTAGGGTGAGGAAGGCCGTGGAGGGCCTAATGATGGGACAGGCCCCCAAGGCCTCCCCAACCCACTAAGATACCTCATGCTTCCCCCTCCCTGCTGTACCAGTCTCACCTTGAAAGGATCCGTCTCCTCTCTGCTGCGGTTGCTGCTTCCACCTGGAACTGAGGCTGGGGGATGCTTCCACATGCTTCCGGAGGCTGGATCCAAGCACCAGAGGCCTTTTGGAGGGTTCCGGCCAAGAGGAAGCAGCATCTTTCCCAACAGCTAAAAATGAAGTTGCAGAAAGGATGTTTGGAAAACAGTCTTAAGAAAGACCAGTTAAAAGAAGGGCCAGAGAAATACTCTCCTTTTCAGTGTGCAGATATCACTGTTGACGAATAGAATAAAATAGAATAGAATAGAATAGAATTTTGGAGATCTTCTAGTCCAGCCCCTTATACGAGCAGGAGAGCCTATACCGTTTCAGAAAATTGACTGTCTAGTCCAGGGGTAGGCAACCTTGGTTCTTTTATGACTTGTGGACTCCAACTCCCAGAATTTCTGAGTGAGCATGGCTGGTTCAGGACTTCTGGGAGTTGAAGTTCACGAGTCATAAAAGAGCCAAGGTTGCCTACCCCTGGTCTAGTCTTTTCCTAAAAACATCTAGTGATGGAGCGCCCACGATTTATGGAGGCAAGCTGTTCCACTGGTTAATTACCTTCACTGTTGGGAAGTTTCTCCTTAATTCCAGGTTGCTTCTCTCTTTGATCAGTTTCCAACCATTGTTTCTTGTCCTGCCCTCTGGTGCTTTGGAGAATAATTTGACCCCCCTTCTTTGTGGCAACCCTTCAAATACTAGAATACTGCTATCATGTCACCTCTATTTCTTTTCTTTAGACTAGCCAAACCCAAGTCCTGCAGCCGTTCTTCATATGTTTTAGTCTTCAGGCCTTTGATTATTTTAGTTGCTCTTCTCTGAACTTTTTCCAAGGCCTCAGCATCTTTTTTGTAGTATGGTGACCAACATTGGCTGCAGTATTCCAGATGTGGTCTTACTAACTAGGGTTTTATAAAGCGATACTAATACTTGGCGTGATCTTGATTCTATGCCTTAAGTCTTAGCCAAAGATGATAACCAAGGAAAAGAAGTTTGTACAGGGTGCAGAAAAATACTCAAGAGATGACCTGGGATTCTGTGACGACTGCAGAAGCCACAATGAAGAGAAACAAAAGGAAAGCAGGAAACATTCCTTTTGGTTAGAGCAGGGGTAGGCAACCTCAGCTCTTTTATGACTCATGGACTTCAACTCCCAGAATTCCTGAGTCAGCTATGCTGACTCAGGAATTCTGGGAGTTGAAGTCCATGAGTTATAAATGAGCCAAGGTTGCCTACCCCTGGGTTAGAGAATACAAGTTGGAGAAAAAACCCGATAAACGTCTGGAGTGTGGAAAGAACTTCAGGGATTCGAGTTATCTTACTAGCACACTCTTTCTCCGACTGCTTTGGGAGGAGCAGCTCCAGACTGCCGGCCCAGCGGACCTTCCCACGGGAGACCGCTTCTCCAGTGGCAGAAGGGAGGGGGTGTGCAGGGGGAACCCCAAGGGGGCGGCGCTCTCCACCCTTTCGAGGAAGGGAGGAGCTGTACGGGGAGGGGAGGAGCTAGAAAGGCTTCCTGCTTTGGCTCTGCGAAGTCCAGGTGGGGTCGTTCCGGGGAAGGGGGGTCTACATGCGTGGCTGGGAAGGGAGGAAGGCAGCATGGCCGGCGGGGATCGCGGTTCCTTTGCTGCTAGCATCTCTTGGGAAGCGGAGTTCGGGCGAGGAAGAGAACCGCTTTTTTTCCTTCGAGCGTGAGGTAAGAACCTTCCTTCCTTCCTTCCTTCCTTCCTTCCTTCCTTCCTTCTTTCTTTCTTTCTTTCTTTCTTTCTTTCTTTCTTTCTTTCTTTCTTTCTTTCTTTCTTTCTTTCTTTCTTCCTTCCTTCCTTCCTTCCTTCCTTCCTCCTCCCTCCCTCCCTCCCTCCCTCCTTCCTTCCTTCCTTCCTTCCTTTTTCCCACCTGGAGAAATACCTGGACAGGTGACCCTCCAACGCAGCGCCCCTAAGTTCGCTCCTGCACTCCCCACTTTCTCCTTGGGGAGATTTCTTCTGCCCGCCCTTCCGGATCGTTTCCCGTGACTTTCTTTTCTTTTCTTTTTTCCTGGAGCTGTTTCGGATCTAGAAACCTCGGAGTTCAGTGGCTGCTAAATCGGCCGGAGGAAAAGGGGGAGATCCCCTCCCAGGAGCCGCTGTTTTGGGCAGTTGCTCAAGACGACCCCCTTCAGGAGAGAGCATCAGGTAAAGGCTCCTTCTGATGCCCTTGAATCCTCAGGGTTGACTTTGCCCAAGTGTCTTGCGTTTGTGAATTCCTTTCTCATTATTTAACTAGCTGTACCCGGCCACGCGATGCTGTGGCTCAGTCTGGTTAAATGGAAAAGAAAGAAAAGAGAAAGTGCATGTCTGTAATATGTTTAATTTCACAATGCTTGTGGGTATACAATATTTTTTGTTGTTCCATTGTCTGGCGCTGTTTTTCAAAAAAAGCATGTTTTTACCTGTCACAGGTGTGACATCTATATAATAGTAGGTATATAGAAACACGCGCATATTCGAATGCAACGTTGTGTCAAAATTTCAAAGTAATCGGTGAAGAACTTTCGGAGATTTAAGATTTTGAACAAACGAACATTTACATTTTTATTTAAATAGATTTAACTGAGTTTTTAAAGTCTTATGTGCATTTCAAAAGTTCTGTGCGCATTGAAAAAGGTGTCACCTTTTTCCTGTAGGCCAGCCTTTCTCCACCTTGGCAACTTTTAAGATGTGTGGACTTCAACTCCCAGAATTCCCCAATCACCTTACCTCAGGGGTAGGCAACCTTGGCTCTTTTATGACTTGTGGACTTCAACTCCCAGAATTCCTGAGCCAGCCATGCTGAGGGGAAAGGGAGAGGTTTCCATGCTGAGCCATGCTGGCTCAGGAATTCTGGGAGTTGAAGTCCAACCGAGTCATAAAAGAGCCAAGGTTGCCTATCCCTGCCTTACCTGATTTGGGATCCTGGGGAAGGAAAACGGTTCAAATTTTTCTGGTTGTGTCATTGGCCTTTGTATTAATCTCCTCGGTCATGCAACGTGTGAAATCTGTTTTCCTAAAATGATATTTCTCTGTGTTAAATTTGTCTTCCTGAAGTATTGTACCGCCATGCCAACTACTGGCAAGAATACATACAAAAACCTGTCGTGCTCTGAGTGGGAGATGAGTTAGCCGCAGTTTGTGGCATCTCTTGTTTCACTCCATGCCAAGGGGAGGAATGTGTGAGACTACTAGGCCAAAGCCACCATACCTAAAAGTGGCTAAGGCATATAAGCAGGGTGGACAAAAACCAGTAAAAGCTCCTTCAGGGAAAGGAACCAAGTCATTAAGGGAACAAAAAGGACAAAAGTGGGGACTGAGCACATGGCAAGCCCCTCCCCAAGTCTCACCAACAAAGGAGTTGAGTCTGCATGGGAAGCCCCTCCCCACCAATTCAGGGGGATAAAAAGAGGTCCTGAAGCCGGCCCTGCGTTTTTTGAGTCCTTGTTTTTGGATCCCAGACTTTGCAGATTCCATCCCTCTGGCTAGTCTAGTGCCAGGCACCCTAGTAGTGGATGCTTGGTAAGTGTAGATATGTGTGTGTGTGAGCAAAAATATATCAGTAAAAGTTTGCTGTTAGTTTAAATTCACTGGGTGTTTGTTTATTTTAAAGAACCATTTGTGCCTCAGTGTTCAGTTCATTTGGGACTGAGTGTGGCAATTTTTCAGACCTGTGTGTGTGCACGTGAGTGACCATATGCTGAACCTGAGAGCACATATCTGTAATACATACCTTTCAGCTTTCCTCTCACCCAATGTCAGCTTCTATATGTTGTTGCTGTGAGTGCAAGGTACGCAAGACAAGAAATGATGGAAACTAATCAAGGCAAGAAACAACCTGGAATTAAGGAGAAACTTCCTAACAGGACAATTAATAAGTGGAACAGCTTGCCTTCAGAAGTTGTAGGTGCTTCATCACTGGAGATTTTTAAGAAAAGACTGGATAACATTCTATCTGAAATGGCATAGGGTCCCCTGCTTGAGCATGGGGTTGGATTAGAAGACCTCCAAGGTCCCTTCCAACTCTATTCTGATTGATTGATTGATTGATTGATTCCCTAGTTAGCACAGAAATAGACTAAAATCTCCCCTCTTCATTGTAGGTCAGTGGTGGCGAACCTATGGCACAGGTGCCAGAGACGGCACTCAGAGCCCTCTCTGTGGGCACGCGCGCCGTTGCCCCAGTCCTAGGCCTTCAGCTAGGTTTTATAAAACCTTTTCGCTTTAGGCCGCCGTGTGCAAAAAAAAAAAGGTTCAATCAGTCAATTTCAACTTCTCGCAGGGAAAAAAAAAGATCCTGCAAAGTTGGAATTGATTGATTGAACTTTTTAGTCCCACCCAGTCTGCCATTACTGCCAATGGGCCACGCCCAGCCAATGGGCCACACCCACCCGGCACTCGATGATGCATAAGTGGGTTTTGGGTTGCAGTTTGGGCACTCAGTCTCTAAAAGATTCGCCATCACTGTTGTAGGTTCAAGAATATCGTTAGGATGCTTGCTAGCAAATTATTCCTTTGCTGTTTTGTTTTGTTTTTTCCCACTCGTAGACACTCTAATGGCATCGTGTTCATCTTCTGGAACCTGTGTTCTTTCTAGTGGAGGATTAACAGCAGTTGAGCTTCCAACTCAGGTAGGAGGAATCCCCCTTCCTTAAAGTGAAGAAGCACCCAATAAGAGAATAACAGAGTTGGAAGGGATCTTGGAAGTCTTCTAGTCCAATCCCCTGCTCAAACAGGAGACCCTATACCATTTCAGACAAGTGGCTGTCCACTTAAAAAACCCCAGTGATGAAGTGCCCACAGCTTCTGAAGCCAAGTTGTTCCAGTGGTTAATTATTCTTATTGTCAGGAAGTTTCTCCTTAATTTCAGGTTGCCTTTTCTTCTTGATTAGTTACCATACATTGTTTCTTGTCTTACCTTCTGGTGCTTGGAAAATGTTGAACCCCTCTTTTTTGTGGCAGCCTCTCAAATACGGGATTAGTGCTATCATGTCTCCCATAGTCCTTCTTTTCTCTAGAAAAGTTCCTGCAATCATTCTTCATATGTTTTAGTCTCCAGTAGTTGCTCTTCTTTAATTTTCGTAGTTGCTCTTCTTTGTACTTTTTTCAAAGTCTCCACATCTTTTTTGTAATGTGTTAACCAAAACTGAATTCAGTGTTCCAGGTGTGTTTTTTACTAAGGTTTTTAAAAGCAGTACACATGAAAGCCCAAAGTAAAAGTAAAGTCCAAGCATGAGTTTTGTGCAGAAATTAAATGTTGAACTCCACTTTCCTTGATTCGGCATGATTCATTGGTTCAGTGCAGTGGGCAAAATTAATCTAGTGTTGGATTTGGAACAACCCATCCAAGGTCTAGTGCCANGCAGTTGTCCAGATGAAGCCAGAGACACTGACAGAGAGTTGTAGTCTTTTATATAAATATATATTTAATGTACAATTTTACAGCAGTCTTTGTCATCATCCAGAAAAGGAAGAACATAAGATAATCAGGGACACAGGAACATCATGAGGTAAATCTAAAATAGCATACATACAAAACACACAGAAGGAAAAACGGAGGGGAAAAAGGGAAACTCCTTTATACTCTCAGCAACCAATCATAGCATAGATTGCCTCATGCAGGAGCCATCCCTCTCCAACCAATCAACTGCAACTGTGTGTTCTGGCCTATTGTACACTTTACTGTTCCAGCTACTAAATTCAATATCTTAACATGCTCATTTGTCCTACTTGGAAACTGCAGTTTGTTCATCAAGAAGAGGACTTGCATGTAATTCGTTGAAGTGTTTGTTGTTAGGAATGTTCATGGGATACATTGTGGTTTTTTTCCTCTCCCTATGTCAGGATTTGGTATCACCCGAGGATGTAGCTGTATTTTTTTCCGTGGAGGAGTGGGCTTTGCTGGATTCTGAGCAAAAAGCTTTGTATCGAGAGATCATGCTGGAAAACGCAAGGAATATGGCCTCCTTAGGTAAGGGATTCTGTTCACATACTGTAATGCAATTTTTTAAAAAAAATTAATGCACATGAAGTCCTCCAGGATTGGTTTCCCTCCCCCCCCCAATTCTGTATCTCTTATCTGAACCTGATTTTCAAATTTGCAAGCTATTTATATGTGGTTTTTATCCTTTTCCATAAAGCCTGGCTTTTCTTCACAAATGGACTCTGTATGAAGAGTCTGGCCTTCATAAGTCGCTCTCTCCTATTTGTTAAGAATCAAATTCAGTCTTGCACATGCTGTGCATGAAGGGAACAAAATACTGTAACCAAGTGGAGCAGGTTAAAAACAAAGATGGAGTATATAAACTAATACAGTAGTGTAAATAAAAGACTTTCAAATACTGTGCTGTGTGTTGTTGCTAGCAGTGACCATTCCTATGTTTTTGTCAAGGGAATGAAATTTTTGACAGAGAAGGAAAACACATTCTTGCACTATGGTATTGCCTCCCCTCACCATAACATTTATCTTACTGTAAACAGTTCTGAACCAGTCTCTCTCTCTCTCTTTCTCTGTCTATCTATTTAACTTTCTACAGGACAAGATACTGTACTTTTCCATCAACTCTTTCTTAGGCCAAAAATGTCTTCGCAAGGAAAGCGACCAAGCTTTACTTCAGCTCAACACGGAGGCAAGAAACAAAGGAAAAGTATCAATTTGGACTTGAAAATGAAAATAATTAAAGCCCACGAGAAGGGAAAGAGGATAAAGACCATAGGAGAAGAAGAAGGACTGGCCGCGTCCACCATCTGCACTATTCTTAAGGATAAAGAAAAGATAAAAGAGGCGATTAAATCAGCTCCAGGAACAGATGCCATAATCACGAGAAATAGGACAGGCCTCATTTCAAAAACAGAACAGCTACTTGTGCTTTGGATTGACGATCGGATCCAGAAAAGAATCCCAATTAGTCTCCATCTGATTCAGGCGAAGGCCCGCAGCATTTTTGAAATTCTAAAGCAAGGAGCAGGTGAGGAGCGCAATGAGACATTTGGGGCCAGCCGTGGCTGGTTTATGCGATTCCAAAAACGATTTAATTACTATAACATACGAACAATAGGTGAAGCTTTGAGTGCTGATGAAGAAGCTGTCCAACACTTTCCAGACAAACTGGATGAAATTGTAATAGAGGGCAACTATTCACCACAGCAGATCTTTAATGTGGATGAAACTGGGCTGTATTGGAAGCAAATGCCAGAGCAGATTTACATCCACAAAGAGGCCAAAACAATGCCTGGATCTAAAGCATCTGAGGACAGAATAACTTTGTTGTTGGGTGGAAATGTCTCTGGGTTCAAGTTGAAGCCATTGCTGATTCATAGATCAGAGAATCCTCATGCCTTCAAAAATATAAATAAGGACGCTCTACCAGTGTATTACAGAGCCAATAAGAAGGCGTGGATGACACAAGTAATCTTTGAGGATTGGTTTGTGTCCTGCTTTGTGCCACAAGTAAGGACCTACTGCTTAGAGAACAAGATCCCTTTCAGAATACTTCTACTTCTGGACAATGCCCCTGGACATCCCCCCCATCTGGGCAATCTCCACCCTTGTGTGAAAGTAGTCTATCTACCCAAAAACACAAGCCCTCTCCTACAACCTATGGATCAGGGAGCAATTGCAACTTTCAAGGCACACTACTTACGTGCCACATTGGCTGAAGCCATAGTTGCATTGGACGGAGAGGAAATAACACTGCGTAACTTTTGGAAAGGTTACAATATCCTTCACTGCATCCAAAACATTGCAGTAGCCTGGCAGGATGTCCCTACAAAATGTATGCAAGGGATTTGGAGAAAATGTTTAAAACGTTTTGCTGTATTTGTAAAAAATTGGGATGATTTTGACCAAGATGAAAATGTGCAAGTCATCAGTCGGGACATTGCAACACTGACCAGATCCCTTGTTTTAGATATTGATGCTGGGGATGTGGAAAATTTCATTGCATGCAACGAGAGGGAACTTTCTAATGAAGAATTAATGCAACTGCAAAATGAATCAAAAGAACAGGGGGATGTGGAGGCAGGAGAAGATGAAGAGGAGGAGAAGGAGGAACAGGAAGATGGAGGAGGAGGAGCTTGCATCTCTAAAAAGTTAACATTAAAAGAATTGGCAGAATTTTTCTCCAAAATGAACCATGTGTTATCTTTTTTGAGTGACATTGATCCCAATGAAGAACGTGTGGGTAGAATCCAAAGAGAAATCAATAACGTTTTGAAATGTTATCGAGAAATATATGAAGATAAACAAACAAACAAAAAAGAGTGCAAATAACTTGCAGGGTTCCTTCAGAAAACTACAGGACGCCCATCCACATCTACCTCAACAGTCCTGGATGAGCCTTGGCCATTGACCAGCTGCTCCATCCTTTCAGACCTCAGCAAAGAGGACAACTTTTGATTTTTCACTGCACTAATGTTTTCACTGTTTTGCACTTTATTTTTCAGTTATTGAAGAGTATTTGTATTTATATATATTAGTTATTGTTATTAAAAATGTTTATACATACAGTAATGTTAGTAATGTTCGTTTCTTTGAAGAGAAACGGAAATTGTGGGGAGAATTGTGTAAGGTGCAGGTAATTTGGTTTAAAGGGGAAGAAGGTTTTTTTTGCCTAATTGTAAAACCTTTTCTCACCAGTGAATTTCATTTTGTTAGTTAGGGCCCAGGGTTCAAGTCTGCTGAGATCTTTCTGGATCTTGAGCCTCTCTTCTGGAGAGTTAGCTATTATTCCACCACCTTGGTGCTGATATGACTCACTCCTGGAAACTTAAAATTTTTACCAGCCCTCTTGTCAGCCTGCCCTACCTTACAGGGCTGTTTTGTGTGGGAGGAATAAGAATCAGGGACTAATCTTCAGCTTGTGGGGGAGAGTGGGAGGGGAGAACCATAGAATTAATGGATCAATCCATCAAAGGATGGGTAGCATGTGGCTGCTGCTGCAGCGGCCTCTTCTCTGTAGCATAGACCCACTACTTCTGCTAATCCCTTACTGGAAGGAAATCCTCCCCCACCCCATTTTGGATTTTGCCTGGAGAAGCTTGTGCTCTCCATTTTGAAAGGAAATCTTCCCCCATTTTGGATTTTGCCTGGAGAGGCTTGTGCTGATCAGGGGCAGTGTTCTTTTTAAAAGAGGTTTTAAATTTAAATTCCCTCCAGAAGTTGTGGGTGCCCCATCACTGGAGTCTTTTAAGAAGAGACTGGATAGGCATTTATCAGAAATACTCTCTTGTGAGAGCAGTGGGTTAGACTAGAAGATGACCTCAAGGTCCCTTCTAATCAGAAGCTGACAATTCTGTAAATCCCTCACCCATCTCTGGGTGCCTGGCTGGAGACTGTTAAGCTAATTAGTGGCAATTTTTTTTTTTTTTAAAGCAACTTCAATAGGAGAGTTCTGTAAATTACTGCCCCCCCCCACCCTCTAGCTGCCTAGCAGCAAGTGGGTTGTTTTTTTTTAAAAAAAAAGCAATCGGAGAGCTCTGCCAGCTTGCTTGGAGGCAATTCAGTTCCGGAGCTGAAGGCTGCATTGGAAACAGCTGATGGCAGTGATCAATTAAAGAATCAGAGGCAATAGTCAGATCTTCATTTAATGACTGATTTGATTCAATCAACAAAAAATCCATAAAATTGAGTCTGATTCATGTGATGAATTTTTTTGAGTCTGATTAGGGGCATACCCCAAGTACTGTCTATTTAAATTTAGTAGCTGGAACAGTGGAGTGGTACAATGAATCAGAACACACAGTTCTAGCTGATTGGTTGGAAAGAGCTGTCTTCTGCATGAGGCAATCTGTGCTGTGATTGGTTACTGCGAGTGGAAAAGGGGAGTGTCTTTGTTTCCCACCTTTTTTCCTCTGTGTGTTCTGTAATTTAACCTCAGGATGATCCTGCGGTGTTGATTTACCTCATGATGCTCCTGTTGGCCTGATTATCTTGTTTACTGTAAATATAGATGTAAAATATATTAATTTATGTAAAGGTCATGCAGACATCTCTGACTTCATTTGGATGCTTGTGCAATTCTCTGACAGATTTTCTTGTTAAATTAGTAACCCGGTTGTTAAGCGAAGCAGGTTTTCCCATTGATGTTGCTTATCAGAAGGTCGCAAAAGGTGATCACATGACCCTGGGACACTACAACGGTGATAAACATGAGTCAGTTCCCAACTATCTGAATTTTGATCACGTGACCATGGGGATGCTGCAAAGGTCATAAGTGCGAAAAATGGACATGTCAACTACCTGTACTATGTAGTAGTAGTTTTTCTTCTGAACTTCATATACTTTTAAATATTTCCTAGCTCAGAGCTTTTAAATAGTTCAATATTAAATATTTCCTGTCGAAGAGGATTTCTTCAGCTTCAGAGTGGGATGGTAAATGGGAGTCTTATGGAGCATCAAGGGGGCCCTTCAATTCTGAATGTATTGGGGATAATATAAGAAGAAAGCAGTTTCTGTGGCCCCCCCTTTTCTCTTTATTCTCCTATTTTGGGGCAAAGGAGCCCTCTCTAAATTGTATTGCTCTCAGACATGCCCCATCAACACTTCAAAAGCAGGTAGTCCTCAACGTACGACCACAATTCAGTCCAAAATTCCTGTTGCTAAGTGAGACATCTGTGAAGTGAATTTGGTCCCATTTTACGATATTTCTTGTTGTTGTTCAGTGAATCACCGCAGCGGGTACATTAGTAANGCAAAGGAGCCCTCTCTAAATTGTATTGCTCTCAGACATGCCCCATCAACACTTCAAAAGCAGGTAGTCCTCAACGTACGACCACAATTCAGTCCAAAATTCCTGTTGCTAAGTGAGACATCTGTGAAGTGAATTTGGTCCCATTTTACGATATTTCTTGTTGTTGTTCAGTGAATCACCGCAGCGGGTACATTAGTAATGCAGTTGTTAAGCGAATCTGGCTCCCCCTTGACTTGGCTTGTCAGAAGGTTCACATGGCTCCGGGACACTGCAACGGTCATAAATATGAATCGGTTGTCAAGAGGTTGAATTTTGATCATGTGACCCTGGGGATGCTGCAACCGTCTTTAGTGCAAGAAACTGACATAAGTCCCTTTTTTCAATGCTGTAGCTGTCAGAACCCATATCAATAGGTCCCCTAACCTTTTGTTCCCCTCCTCCTTTTTCTATCTCTTCCTCTTTCATTTTAGCCCAAATCTCACTCTCCTCTCATCCTGTAAAACAGGCAGGAAGATGAGGAAATACCTTCTTTCTATTGAAATGTTTTATTAATTTTATCAAAGTATAAAATAGGGGGGGGGGAACGTGGAAAGCTAAGAGAAAAGGGAGGAGGGAAAGGGGGGATAAGTGTAAGGGAAGAAAAAAATGGAAGGCACCGAGTTCCGTTATAGAAATGGCTTGTACGTCTTGTGTAAAAGCAAAAAGTTGTGGTTGAAATGTTGTTTCCTTCTACTGTGCTAAAGAGAAAATACCTTCTGACTCGTAAACTGTGTGGCAAATGCTATGTAAAGCACTCCAGTGGACGTAGGTGGGGTACATGTGTTTGTGTTATTTTTTTCTGCAGAATAAAGTTTTTACTTGCAATCTTGTCCTCTTGTTTTCAATGTGAGGCGTGGTCACACCTGGGAACAGAGTCAGCATTGGGGCAGGAAAAGGTAACGAAAAACCAAAAGTGACTTTTTTGTTCTTTCCTTCTTTCAACCAAGCTGGAAGTGCAATTCTACAGGAAGAAAATGGCGACTATACTAGGAAGCCTGTCTCTGGAAACTTGAAGCCTGCTCTCTTAGGCTTGGAACTGTCGAAGTAGGAGAAATATTTTGTGCAGATAATCCTCGACTTAACGACCACAATTCAGTCCACATTTTTCTCGTTCCCCACAGCGGTTGAGTTAGTAATACAGTTGTTAAGCGAACCTGGCTCGCCCATTAACTCTGCTTGTCAGAAGTTTCGCCTGGTCCTGAGACACTGCAACCCTCATAAGTATGAGTCAGTTGTCAAGCGGTTGAATTTTGATCACGTGACCGTGAGGATGCCGCAACGGTTGTTAAGTGTGAAAAACAATTCTAAAACACTTTTTTTTCAGTGCTGTTGTAGCTTCAAAGTGTTATGTGCTCCTGGCCACTTTCCTTCGTGACCAGAGGCAAGCTCACCTGACCAATAACCAGCCAAGACACAGTGAAGGCCTTTTGTTTCGTTTATTGCAATAAGCAGGGAGAGAAGCTATCAAAGCTTGGTTCTCTCCAAAGTTCCAACCCAAAATATTCCCTTCTTTATACAATCCTATCTCGGCCGCCACATCCCTCCTCTTTCCCCATTAGCTGAGGTACTATGAGGTTACACTCTTTCCAACCGCCTCCTACATATTTCCTGCTACATACTAAATCATAGATCACATGTACATTAAAATTAGGAGATAATTTATGCCAGGTGTGCCAGTTAATATTAATCAACTAATTGCACATGCTCAGTTGCCTGAGTT